TATATAAATAACTTCTCAGAATTCTTGCTTAATATGTTTCATCTGCCATTAATTGTTTAGCAGAAAGGGTTCATCCAAACATCATCTCTTCAACCTATAGTCAAGCTATTTACTTCTGTTCAGCTGTCCTCAGAACAATTTAGTGACTTTACTCCATTATTATGACAAGTTGACAGTCATCCAAACATGTTTTTTATTAATCAACGTAGCATTAAAAAAAAAAAAATCTTGCTGTATACAAGCGCCTTCTGATTTGGTGTATTTTGTAAAAGAAAAATAAGTGGCAACAACCTGTCTGAATATTAAATTTGACAAGAAATACTTTGCAGTGCAACAAGTAACTCATGAGCTACAATTATTTACTGTGCAGGAATGTAAATGAACATAAATAAATGCTTTGTTTCTAGTAAAAAGTATGGTCTGGGTTAACAACACTAGATTCAACCACTTGAACTCCATTTCAAAGTCTCAATACTAAAGCCTTTTTTTAAACTCAAGCTGATTTGTTATCTTTAAAGACATGCAGATAGAGTCCCAGATTTAAAAGGGGCTTTATTCATAAGCTTGAAAAGCCTGCTTCATTTTACTGTTTTCTTGCCAAAAGTTAGATGACAGCAGTTGGTCAGCTTAACTAAGCGCAAACTGCAAACTGAAAAACAACTAGTTCAGCTTTAAGTAAAGACAGTAAAATCTGCCAACCAGACAATGACTATTTAATGTTTAGGCTAACCAACTGCTGGCTGTTGCTTCAAATCCGGCATAGAACCGCAACTCAAAATATAATATAAATACTTTATACTTAAAATATAGTCAGAATCCGAAGTTACAATGATATAGTGAGTATATATAATATATATGAAAAGAAAAACGTCTCTTATTTGAGCAACTGGTTAAATTAATTAATAGACACCATGTATTTAGAGTATGTGTAGGGTATTGCTCTCATCCAACACTGTCCTCACCCCTATTGGGGGTTCTTTCCCATGTAACAAGAGGCACAGAAGCATTAATAATAATAATAATAATAATAATAATAATAATAATAAACACATCTATTTGTTGAATAGTTTTTTTTATTTATACCTCTTGGGTAAAATTTCAAATATATTCTCCTCTAAAATGCTCAATTACATGACAGAGATGTACAACACGCAGCATCGTTTGCTACCACTCTTTCTTTTCTACCCGTTAAAGGCGCATTTCACATATTCTGTTCCAAAATGGATCAATATATTGACTGCTGCATGCTGTAAAATCTGACAGTCTGCACTGTGACCGGTGTGCGGGTTCCCAAAATTGACTTGATATGAAGACGATGTTCTTACAGTGTGTTACAACAGTCAGGTGAGTCATAAAAAGTAATTTATAAGATTTTAAGGCTTATCACGTTGAAGGTGTTTGCTGTCATACGACACAGCACATAGATACTATTGTGGGTGTGTTGAATATCAAAAAGTCCACTTGGACACTGGCATTCAGTTACTTGTGGACTTGCAAGATATATGCATCGGCCACATGTTAATCAATTTCAAAGTCCGTGTGTTTTTGCAGAGAGTGTACTCCATCAAACATTGAGCTGAGATGATCTTTGTCTACAACCACATAACACGGCCTTGAACCTTCTGTTGAGAAATCAGGCAAAGGTCAAAGTATTTAGTGAAAAGGGTTATTCCGGTGTATAAACAAAGGCTGTAAGACCTAAATGATACTTTAAGGAACATCACAGGAAAGACTCTTTCAGGCATGTTCAGCACTTACATTGTGATTGTTTCACATTATATCATTTTGATGTAAAAAAAAAATAAAATAAAGTATGTCTCAATTTTTCTGTTGCTGGGAAGAATATCGCCGCAGAACTGCTCAGTGCAGACGCGTTGTTCTCTGCTTTCACATTGTTTCATGTAGGTCCACAATTGCAAGACAGTAGACATTTTATAGTAGGTGGAAGATTAACAGTCAGTGTGCCCACTCCGTTTGTTATTATTCATGTGCATGATGGCAGAAATGTGTGTTTGTGTGTCAGTGTTTGCCTAAGCCAGCAGATGAATGATATTGCTGCAAATGGAAAGTGGAAATGAGTATTTAATGGACACAAACATGATCCAAGAATTCTGTAATTTTAGGAAGACTACATTGAGCACTGGTGTGATCTAAACACTGGAGCAGATTTTATAATTACCAAATCACCAAATAACTTTATACTGCTTACATAATATTAATCCCCAGTGTGCGTATATTAAGCATTTAAATTGTTTTCCTTTCTTTGGTTCACTTTTCAATTGTTTTAAGTATATTATTATATTAAGAACATCACTAAAACTACTATTAACCATCTTTAAAAAATTATGAGTTTATGACAGATGTTACTTTAAAACAAATGAAGTAGATAGATTTATTGTATGGTACTCAAATAATGAATATCACTTGAATTCAAAAGCATGTAACCAGCATGTCATTTTATTATGGAAGATGTATGCAAAGCTTTTTATCTAGCCTAAATACATGTCCAAACTGTTCCTACATGTGTGATTACACTCAACATATTAAAAGGAATCACTGGATAGTAACTAAAGGGTTATTAAAATTGTTTATATAAAAACAAATACAAACATAAAGCCATTTCATTAAAAGTTTGTTAATTTTTTTTTTCAATTTAGATTTGAACAGGGATCGAGTACTGCCAGTAACAGTAAGGTGCAAAATTTGTTGGATAAAAATACAAATTTTGTAAATCTTTAAATATTGTGTTTGCCTAAAGTGACCCAAGACAGTGTTCAGAATTAATCTAATTGTATTTCTCAAAATTTATTATTTTGTGTCATACATACTTAAATCAAAAAGTAATACATTGATTTTTAATCCGGGAATACTAAATAACAATAATATGTGTATCTTTATGTGTTAACATTTTATTCCTATGTGGGACCACTAATATGATGGCTTTGCCTTTAATTATAAGTTGTCATGGAAACAAAAAATGAAAAATGAAAAGCATTTGCATCTCTTTGTGAAAAAGATAATGCATCATACAACTCCCATCTTTAACTCTCAGTTCTAACAGTGTTTACCTTGTTATTTCTAAGGACAAAGAACTATGAGGAATGATATGATGTAAGCATGATAAAATGCCACATATAGCAATGCTTAGTCATATTTCTAAAGTGCATTATCTACTGCACTGTTATTGTGCTCATTAATGCTTCTGATGATGCTATACAACTTAAGCTGATATGAATGCCTCATGTAACGCATTTGCCTACAGACAAGGTGGGGAGACAATGAAATCAATGCAAAAAAAAAAAACAAAACAAAAAGAGCCACTATGCTGTGTTGTGTTCTATAAATTGATGGCTATTTTGAAGACATTACCAGGAACTGAAAATATTTTAGGCCACTTGCAGAATGAACAATCTACATTTACAAGAAAGCATCTCCCTAGAATTCCCCATCAAGTAATTCAAATTAACTCATCCATCAGATGCACTTATCAGATCAAAGTAAATGGATGACGACAAAGCTAAAGCTAAGATACAGGACTATTTTTGCAATATGATGATTTGCTTAGAGTAGGCTTCAAAGGGCTTCAGTGTTCATATAATACAGTGCAGTCTGTGGTGTTTCACAGAGATATCCTACATGTGTTGCACAACTTTGCAGCAATTACACAATATGATTTTATACACATAAGCTGTGCAAGCAGGCACATAATCTCTTCTATTTATGAATGAAAAAAAATTATGAATAATGTATATTATTTACCAACTACAACAAAGAAAACAGATATAAACAAAAAAGTGAAATAAATTCAATGATGAACTCGCTGTGACATAATGCAGAGAAAAGAGATGAATACCATTACACATGGTGATGACGATGATCAGCATCAGCAACAGCTGAAGCACAGTACAGAAAAACTGAAGCACACTAAAAATTTAAATGGCTACAATTACCAGAATTACACTGGTAACTGCAATAATTGATGAAAGATGACAGATAAAACCTTTCTGCTGTGCTTTGGACACAATGATTTTTTTCAGAATACTTTTAAATGCAATGAGAACAATTATGTAGATATATAGATATGAGTATTGCTTAATTTTAACAATCATATCTATGGGACTATGAGAAGTGCTTATAATACAGACATTCAGTAATTAAACAAAGAATGTATTATTCAATCCACACTGCACATCTGGCAGAGACTGCTAATCTTCTCCACCTTTGACGCATTGGGTGGGGGAAATCCATACATGACATTCAATAACCCGCGAAAGAAGAAGTGCTGAAACTTACTCCAGGCGCTTATCCATTTCCCATAAAACACCACAATTTGCTTTATGTTTGAGGCACGTCTGCCTGCTGTGTTCTGATTAATTCAGATATTTGACTCCTATATCTAGTAAAAAGAAGTTAATGAAATAGACAGTACAAAAGTAAAAGTTGCATCTACCAGCCAAGGTTTTCCTCCTGTGTTCCTCATCGGATGACGTGTGTTTGACAGTGATTTCAGCAATGAAAACGGAGTGTTCATTTGTTTATGTCTGGGTGTATATGTGTACTCATCTGTATCTGCGAAGAAAATTTGAGGTTACCAGTTGGTTTGGGTCATTTTTGCATTTCCATTCACGTGCTCAGTCAGGTTCTGGATCACAAATCATCCTCTCTGCCTCTCATAAATATGAATGTAATACTTTAATTACCTTGACCCTCATGATGCCATAACAGAACAAAAAAGCAAATATCAAAAACACTGAATAGGTCTGACAAATTGCAATATCACATAAGAAATTGAATAAAATCCAAAGGAACAGCAGAGGTTGTATAAACGTTGTGCTTCTTTAATTTCACTTTGTAAAGTCCTCCACTGCCCTAGCTGTGTTTTTGTTTAACCTTCATTTTATTTAATATATATTTATTTATATATATGTATATATATATATATATATAAGATAAATGTACACGTATGAGGTTCATCTCTTGTGGCAAGCAGAGAGGCTACCAAGAGGCTACCAAGGACACCCTTCTTTTATCCTCAGTCCTGGTTAGTCATTTCCTCAATGATTGATTTATTTATTTATTCATTCAGTCATCAGTTTTTAGTGTCTCCTTATCAATCAGTAGCTCCCATGGTGCCAAAGGCTGGTCCGGAAGGGAGACTGTCTTTGTGGAAAAGGTTGTTTTGACCACTTTCCCTTTTCTCTCGCTCTTTCTTTAACTTTCTTCCTAGAATCCCCGTTCCCCCATTTCATTCCCTCAGGTCCTTTGTCATCTTTGGTTGAGTGTCCGACACTTTGGTGTGTCTGGGGAATAGGGTGGAAGGACTTCCGAGGATAGCGGTTCAAGGGAGTGAAGATACATGAAGGGTACACATATGGACCAAGAAGGATGACAAAGGAGAGAAAAAAGACAAAGTTGACAAAGTGGCACACTGACATGGATAAAGAGAATCTAATCAAGGGATAAAGGAGGGAATTTCAAGTCTCTATGTCAAAGACTATTAAGTATGTTAACCTTAAATACAGTATGAGCATTGATTGGTTATATGAAGCGAATAGGTGAAATATTAAAAAAAAAAGAGCAGAGGACAAGAAGATAGACAAATACATAGTGTTTCTTGTTGGATGCATGAAGGACAGAAAGACTGCAATAACTGAAGAGGACAGACAAGTAAATGGACAGGTACGCAGAGGAAAAGACAGGTACAGGGGAAGAGAGAGAAGTAAAAGAGCGCAAGTCAGGGCAGTGTCTGTCAGCACAGACAGTTGGTGGTGCTATGGGGAGTGCTCATCATCTGAAGAGTAGTGAAACAAAGCAGGAGAGGCCAAAGGCCAGCCATTTAGCCAGTGGGAGTGGGTGTGATCCTCCAATCAGAACTACAAAAAAAAACAAACAAAAAAAGAGTCATGTTAGCACAGAAATAACATATTAGCAATTTTTAACAGCTTCTGCTATCAAGATTAAATAATTCCAGTATTCTTCCAAAACTGGCATGTGCTATAGAAATGTAGGCCTTAGTAAGGTTCATTTCTGCTACGCTAACTTACTTTATGTTCAGAATAAAAAAAGAGATACAAAACCATAACCTAAAAACCCCTCATATCTAGGGGCACAGATTGCAATAGTATACATTTAAAAAAAAATTTGTCTATCACACACAAAAAAAATCTACTATGTTTTTTTTGCAGCTGGCCTTATTGCATTTTTATGTGTCTAGTTTGGGAGGAGACTATTTAAAGAATCACACGCATGTGAAAAAAACATGTAACAGGAACAGTAACAGCATGTTTCCTTCGTGCCTGTGATATCTGCCACAAAGAATGTTCATTGCTTTGGAATAAGAGGGGGTAATGTTTTCAGAATAATTCTCACAAATGGATGTCTCAAATTTATGAGTACGGAGCCAAAAGTCTGGCTATGTCTTGTAACTTCTCCCTAAGTCCTACATTCCATCTGAGTCTTAACTCATATGACTCATTAATAACTCATTTTCCCATTAATTCGCAATACAAATCTGATTTCAAAAAGTTGGAACGTTTGGATGTGTAAACAAAAAGAGAATGATAAGATGACAATGAGATTTTTAATTACTTGCAGTCTCATAAACCAATTTTTTTTAAATGTACCATTTTAGGAAAAATAGCTCATTTAGAGTTTGATAGCAATACTAATTCTCAAAACAGATGGGACACGGCCCAGTTACCATTATGTAGTATCCCATCTTTTAGCAACAGCTTGTAAACAGTTTGTAAACTTGGGAATTTGGAACTATGGAGACCAGTTGCTGGACTTTTGGAAGAGAAGTTTTGTGCCATTCTTGTCTGATATAGGATTCTAGCTGCTCAAAAGTCTTGAATCTTCTGTGCTCCAAAACCAGTGTATACCTTTTCAAATGTGCAAGCGGCCAATTCCATAGACACTAATGCATACCATCAAAAATGCAAAGATTTGAACTGAACAAGCCAGATAGACCATATCCTTTCAGTCCTTCAGTTCTGGATCATGTTCACATATGGCTTCTTCTTTGTACGATAGAGCTTTAACCTGCATTTTTGGATGGCACGATGAACTGTGTTCACAGATAGTTATTTTTCAGAAGTGTTCCTGAGCCTATGCTGTCATTTCCGTGAGAGAAACATGATTGTTTTTGATGCAGTGCTGCTTGAGAGCTCATGGACATCCAATATTTGTTTTTCAGCCTTGTCCCTTGCACACAAGGATTTCTTCATATTTTGGGAATCATTTGACATTACAGCTAGCAAGATCATTGGTTTCAACATCCGCCTCACCCACAAAGCCATCAGCCTTGTGGGTGACACCTCCGAACCCTTCACAGGCCCTCTCCAGCCCCCTGCCTTCGGGGAAAAGGTACCAGAGCATCCGGGTTTGGTCCAGTAGACTGCTGATAAGCTTTACTCAACAGGCTGCCAGAAGACTTAACTCTGTTCATATATTGCCTGCAATTTTGCAGAATTTCCTAATAAAAGGTGCTTTTGTGTTAAAAACAAGTTGTCTCAATGTTTTTTCCCCCTATAATTACATTTCAACAGCAACAAATTTAAAAATGGCCCTTTCCTGTTGTAAGCAATATATTTCTAAAACAGTTTGCCTAAGCCTTTTACAGTACTTGTTATTTTTTAATAACCTCTTTTATTTGAACACACTCATAGCTACATTAGTAAACTGGTTTGAGTTATCCAAATCAAATAATAACCTTTTGGTGAATATTTAGTCTAAATGCTGAGGTTAGGTAGACAAAGCCAGAAAAGCAAAATTCATCTAAGGTTTCTTGAACTTGCTTTTTAGTACAGGTCTCGACTGATGTGCTTTTTGTAATTTCCCCAGTTAAAGTAGTAGTGAACAATCACAAAGGCTTTGTAGCCATAAACAAATATATATTTTTAAAATTATAAGAAAGTTGATTTTTACATCTCACCGGAATTAACTGGTTGCAAAGGCTGTATAAACAGGATGGTTCAGAAGGTTTTCTGAGATGAAGACGACTTTTAGTAAGAGATGTATGTGACAGTTTACTGAAATCTAAAAACTATCAAGGACACTTATAAGCATTTACATAATAATCATCAATGATCAAGGATACAAGGAACATCACACTAAAGCAGACAGCAAGCTTTTTTGTGACAAAACTGTCATAGATGACAAACCGACGATTGAAGACAAACTAAGTAAATAACTGTGCGTGTGATGATTGTGTTTATCTATGTGGCTTAAGACTTCCTTAAAGCCTGCGGGTGTGTTGTCTGAATCTTGTATGACTGTATTTGTTTTATTGTGTTCCTTTTGATATTTTATGTCTCTTTTATTGCATTTTTAAATGCATAACATGAATGTAAATTGGAGCTAGCCTTCAATGATTTATTGACTCTAAACAAATTGAATTTTATTTGAGCATTAAAGAATGCCCTGAAGTGGTAGTTTTACTAAGAAGTATCATGTGAAAATTATCAAACTGTGTTGTGAATGTTATGAAGAAAGAAGGAGGGTTTGTAGAAAAAGGTTCACAGAAACTGTCAGGGAAGAAAGAACAGGTTGTATGGAGAAGAAAAGATGAGAAGACAGTCATGGCTGAGAAGGTGGTTGAGTAAACAAGAGAAACAGAAAGCTTCACCACTGAGATCCCATACATTGCCCTGACAGCTCTGAGATTTTAATGGGAGTAAAGAAGTTACGATTGATGTCATCATCAATATTTGTTGAACCGTTTTCCTTAGCTTTTTTCTGAAGGTCGTGATTGTTAAAGCACAGTTGGAAGACACAATGCAGACATTTTTATATGGTGTAATCGAATTGTTCAGATTTGTTGAATTTGAAAATTAAAATACCAGCTCAGACACAGCACACAGGATCATCTAAAGCTTTCATTTATATTCATTTATATATACAGTCCTATAAAGCAAACTACAAAACACACATACAATACACACCCTCCTTTAATACATAAATTACAAATGCAAGCTGTTCAGACACAGTTTCATAAAAAAAGCATGGGTATTGTATTTAAAAGATCAATATGATTTCATATCAGGGGTCCATCCTTCAGGCAGAAAATCAATATTTGTAATAAATTTTGTATCTGTATGCAGAAGACACACATTCAAACAGGCACACACTGACACACACAGATTCCTATAGTAGAGTCTAAAGTATGCAGGCGACCAATTGAGTGGAACATGGTGTTTAGGATACAGAGTAATAGGGCACTCAACTCCAAGTCTTTGGAAGATAAACAGGGTGCAGTCTTTTGAAATGTAGCAGAAAAGGGAGAAAACACGCTGATAAAAACACTAAAGGGCAAAAAGACATACAAGTTTCAGCAAGCCGCCATTAGTATAATTTAAGAAAACAATAATAATAACATGTAAAACCAGGTGGTATTCAAATACCAATCAAAAAGCAGCACACTGTAAAGAGAACTGCCCCAGAGGTTAGCAGATAAGAGCAACTTGTGTCAGCATTCACAGCCAAATTACAACCAGATTCTAAATATACTTCTACACTGAAAGCATCAAAACAGTATCAATATACACAATCATTTTAAAAACTAGAAGTAAAAATATAGCAAAATTAACTGAAAAGTATGACTAGAAAAAAATGTTTCCGCTAAAGTTGACAGACGTTAAAAGAATGCATGAAATACTCGATCACTAAGCGACCCCATCAACCATATAAATTGGTTTAACAATTAAAAATTCTTCATTTATGCTTTATTCAAGATTTTAGGGCTTTCCATGTGTAATGCAGTTAAATATGCTTCCCTCTGTAGTAATAATCTCTATAATATTCTCCCTTCAGAAAAAGTAGAAAATGTGGCTGCAAATGCCAATTTTTTAAAGAGTTAATAAGAATTCTGGGTAAACACTGGCATATCTGATGAACCGTCCATAAGTCACTTGTGCTAAGAAACTGAAAAAAAGATATTATTCAGGCCTTATTGCCATAAATCACATAACGTTTCTTTTTCGACTGTAAATGATGACACGATTTTCTCATCTGCTATCCTATGTGGTGGTTCTGTTTGCAAATGGTTTTCATTATTTAACTACAGCTCTGATTTTTGATTGATATTGGAACATTGTATTTCAAATACTTTTGTCTTGCTTCCTCCCTTTCATTTAGCAAATGTTCTCTTTACGCACTCATTCATTCGTCCTATTTCCAAGACCAGGGGTGCTGGAGGTGTTGCAGCACTGCCTCTGGCCAAAGGCAGCCATCACAGCACCCCCTGGCAAATGGAAAAAAAAGATGTCGAAACACTTTTGCCATTGATATTTTACTTGGAAATTTGTCATTCAGAAAGTTGTGTGAAATAAATTCAAATACGCTGTCCCTCTGACCCCCCCGCTGCACGTCTTTTATGCTCCAAAATGCGATTAAAAGCATGACTAAGGATAACCATGGTGCAAAAGATACTCACACACCTGCTGAAAAACTTTGGACATCAGTGCCCGTAAATTTATCAAATTAGAGAGCTTATTATAAGCTGCCCAGCACAGGTTAACAAAATAATTAAGCAGTAATTCCACAGTTATGCCTGTGTTGCAAAGGTTTTTGACTATCTCAATCTGGCTATTGGGTGGAGTTAAATAATATCCACATTTGGACACGTTCTCGTCAAAGTGTGCAAAAATGGGTTTATTTATATCTTGACTCCTCGTTCTCATGAAAATTCACAGTTAGGAGGCTGGTATAGTTTTCATAATAAATTTGATCACCTGTGTGTGTGTCTGACATGTGTGCCCTGTGGGGTTTAATTAGTATCTGTGTTAAAACCTTGCGTGTAAGCTGAGGTTTTAACTTCGTTATTATCTGTGCGAGTTCAGTTCTATTTTGGCTGCTTATTCTTGCCTGCTGCGTG